CCGTGGCATAGCAGTTAAGTGTGCGCACTCTGCTGCTGGCGGCCCAGGTTCGGATCCCGGGCGCACACTGATGCACCACTTGTCAGGCCATGCTGTGGCGGCGTCCCATATAAAGTGGAGGAAGATGGGCACAGACGTTAGCCCAGGGCCTGTCTTCCTCAGCAAAAAGAGGAGGATTGGCATGGATGTTAGTTCAGGGCTGATATTCCTCACAAAAAAATATACATTTATATCGCTCTGGCAGCAAAAGGAGGATGGACAGGAAGAGAGGAGAATGGAATCCAGGATGCTGACATAGTGGTCACCAAGTCTAATGGGACTGACACCTACTTCTGTGCCCAGCTTTCATCTACAGGGATGTATACTTTATAAGTTAGTTCAAAAGACTTTCAAGTCCACTGGGTGCCCATCTCATTCCCCAGTCTCCTCTCTCATCTGCTCTGCATCCCCCAGGCCTCTCTCCCTGGGCTCCTCTTGTCATCATTCCCTCCACTCAGGGTTCTTTCCATCATCCTATCCCCTAGTCTCATCTGTTGCCCTCTGGTGTCCTTTGTTGATCTCCCCACCCAGTCCTCTCTTGTCATCCCCAGCTTCAAGGCATGGTAGTTGCCCTGACTCTGACGTGAGTCAAGGAGTCAGGAGGATGGGGCATATCTCAGTCTGTCTGTGAGCAGCCAGTGGGCTCCATGGCCCTGACCTCCCACGAGAGACAAACTACAGCTTGGACTTTCTTCTCTTCCCTCCTCCATACCTATCCCATTCTTGCCCAGAGTCTCATTCTGCCTACCACTCCCACCCCAGCTATCCTCTCAGTGAACACGCTGCCAGTTCCCTGAGGGATGCCCAGCAATAGAGGTGCCTGTTATACCCCTTCTCCCTGTAACCCTCCCCTGCAGAGCCACTCAGCCCAGCCACCCACCTCTGAGTGAGTCCAGCGAGGCTTCGCCTGGGCCTCCCAGCCCTTTCCTGTAAATGCACTCACAGCCAGGAGGGGTGCCATATTAAATCAAGAATGATGGAAACCAGTGGCCGCAATTAATCCAGCCGAGATGCAGCATGGGGACCTGGTAGCTGCCAGCTCCAGGTGAGGGCTTTGTAAGCTAATTGCACGTGGCTTTTATTAAGAAGATGATCACTCCCCCACTCCAGCTTTCCTGGGTAGCTTCTTCCTAGTGCCTCTCTGCCTAGTGCCCTCTGTTTCTGCAGACTGGGTCACCTCCCCTGTCTTCTGCTCTAATGGAACCCTGTCAAAGCAGGGCCTTGACCTCAGTCCCTGTAGCCTTCCTCCTCATCTCCTCAGAAAGCCAGGAACAATAGTAGCCTACATTTATGGGGCCCTTACCAAGTGCCCATCCTACTCTCTCCTCTCCCTCAAAGAGAATGTGTACAGACCAAGTATTTTCCTTTTCTAGGTTCCTCCACTGGCTAGCTTTTCACAAGCCTGGGCTCATAGCTCACGCCTTAAAAAGTCATTCATTCATTCAACACATTTCTTAATACAAACTCTGCTAAGCATTGGGAATAGAACATGAAGCAGGAACCTCTACCTGATTTAATCCCAGTGTCCGGTACATTTTTATCAAAAAGTCTGATCCATTTTCAGAAGTTTTTCTGAATAAGTATTTGAGGCTCCAGACTCGGGGAGAATCAGGATGTACTCAGATTTAAGCCATAGGATGAATCTTTCCCAGGACCATCTAGAAAGCTCCCAAGAAACCAGCCAGATCACAGTGTAACCTTACCCCGACACTCACCTTTTCCTTTGTCCAAGAAAATAACGGGAATACTAAGACAACCTAAATTCATGACACTGAGGAAGAGTTATAGGAAGTAGAAATGTTCCCCTGGAGAAGACTTAGGGAGGCCACAATGGTCATACCCAAATCAACATAGTGGCGAGAAAAGTCATGTTCTATGAGGCCCCACAGATCAATGGATGGAAGGTACCTAGAGGCAGAGTTCTCTGCCACGGAAGGAAAACTGACAGGCAGAAGTGAGCTGCCCCAGGCAGTAGAGGCGTCTCCAGAACCCATTTGGTGTTGAGACTGTACCCTGGGGACCCAGGGTGCCTAGGGGAAGGAGCCTCAGGAGCCACTTCTGGGGCAATAGGGACATCCAAGCGCACTTGGCTCCTGGGCTTGAACCAGAGCAACTCTTCTCTTTATCTGTGGAGCTCTGTATAGACTAAATTCGTTAAAAGAGTTTCAGTGCCAAAAATAAAAAGAACTAAGACAATCAGTTATCAAAATGCAGCAAAGGAGAAGGGAAGTGACATTTAGCAAAGGCCTACCAAGGGCCAGGTACTATGCTGTCCACTTGAGTCTCTCATGCTATCACTTCTACATATACACTTGCTGTGTGCCAGTACTGCCGAGTACTTTGTTTACGTTATCTCACTTAATCCTCACCAACATCCCACAGGGATCCTCAAGATAGGTATGAGCACTATCCCATGTTAGAGATAAGGAAACTAAAATTCAGGGAGGTGAATTAACTTCCCCAAGGTCACCTAGCTAGTAAGGGGATGAGGCGAGGTTTGAATTCAGGTCTCTTTGGAGCAAAGCTTATTCTTTCTGCCACACAACCTGCCCCAGTATGAGCCAGAAGGGGAGCCAAACTTCAGATGGGACAACTCTAAGAATTAAATGAGACACTGTAGAGAAAGTGCTAAGTCCAGTGCCTGGCACGTCGCAGTAGTTGCCTCATTCCGTTGGCAACATGTATCGACTCCTGTGAGGCAGGCCCTGTGCTGGGTGCTGCAGCTACAGAGATGAATGAAACGTGGTCTTTGTCGCTAAGGGCCTCATGGTTAAGGACTTCATGAGTGAGGAGAGAGAAACAGGCAGTTTACTAAGTGCTCCAGAGGTCCTAGGGGCTGGGCAGGCACAAAGCCTTACAACAGGCTCCTTAGATAATATGTATTTGAGCCGAGATCTGCAGGGCACTTAGAGGTCAGATGGGACTGGGAAAGACTTTTGTGGAGAGGGAGCAGTGTGAGCAAAGGCCCAGAGGTAGGAATACTCTGAGACCCATCACCGAGGGGAAGTGAGGAAACAGACCAACAAACCCTCGGAGGCCAGCTTCTATCGCTTCGGGCTCCTTCCATGGCCTGCCTGACTGCAAGCCGGCCAGGCTACTAACCTGCTAACCAGTGCTGCACCAGCCAGTAAGTGCACGTCTCACTGTCAGAGCCTTCCTGCCCAGTGGACCCGAGTGCTGAGGGGCCGGATGTGCAGGGAGGAGAAGGAGGAGGCAGATATATGGCTGGAGTCGTCAGAGCCCTGTGATGTATGTGGCGCCTGAGGGAGCTGCACAGTGACACTCTGGATTCCAACCAGCAAGCGTCGCTCCACTGGGATCGGCGCCGAATTATTGCTCCATATGAAACCCAGGACTGATGGGAGCTTTCAGTTACAGACTGATAGCAACAGCCAAAATTGGATTGTTTGCTATTTATTTTTTGTAACTTCTGTCAAGGTCACTCCCATAACAGGAAAACACTGCCCAAGTAGCAGGTATTTTTCATCCACTCTGCCCACAAGAGCAATCTGCAGCCACAACTTTTGTGACAGGGCCTTGCCGTGGCACCTCCCTCTCTAGAAAGCTGTCAGTGTTACAGGGTCTTAGGGGAAAGGAGCCTCCTGAAGACCCAGGTCTTTCTGTCCTACTCCAGACTTGCTTCCTTCCCCCCATCACCGGCCTCCATCAGTGCTTTCTCCTCAGACCCACACACTCACCTCTCCCTGCCTGGTCTCCAGAGAGCTCCCTCCTACCCCAGAACTCCAGCTTCTTCAAGCCTCCAGTGTCCCAGAAAGCCTCCCCAAAAATGTTCCATGCTTTATGTATCCTTCCCTTCTCAGTACGCCACGACCCAGTCTAGCTGTTAATTCTCTCTTTATATCAGTCATCAAATTCGTTTTTGCAAACATTCACCAGATGCCTCTCCTGTGCCAGGATCTGTGCTGGGAATAGCAGTGAATAAAAAACAGTGCCTGTCCTCAGGGGGCTTGTAATTGATTTAGAGGACAGATTCACAAACATGCAACAAACTGGTTTCCAAGGAGTTTGGGTTTTTTTTTTTTTTAGGCAGAGGTACAGGGCTAGAAATAGGCGCACATGCTTTGGAACCATGAGGAAAATAGTCGATTCTGCCTGAGAAGTATTTGCATAGAGGCCCTGCCTCCCCTCCCCTGCCTGATTTTGAGCTCCCTGAGGGCAAGGCCTGGCTCTCCTCTCCTCCCTCCCAGCGTGACCAAGCTCGGGCCTCCTCTGGCTGCCTTTTCTGTAGTGGACCAAGCCCAGGGCCAGACACAGGCCAGGCACTCAGCATCAACTAGAACCTTCCGGGGGGCCGGGGCAGGGTACAGACCTCCTCCTTCCCCCTGCCCCAGCTTCCCACCTTGGTGTGCACAGGGCCAGTCACACAGCATTTGCTGAATAATTGTGTTTAATTGAACTGCAGTATCATTGAAGTGGAGGGAGTTCTCAGCTCTGGTTTGAAAACCAAAAAGTTTTCAAGAGGATAAGTGGAAAGGGAAAAGAACCTATATCATTAAGCACTTACTGCATGCCTGCCATGATGCTCGGCACATCACATACATCATCATGTTTAATCCCCAATTTACAGATGAGGAAACTGAGGTGCAGGAACTTGCTCCAGGTGATAAGCACATCTTATAAGTGATAAAGCTGGGATTTGAACCCAGGTCTTCTGTCAGTGTCCAGAGTCAAGAGTTAATCTACTAGCAGTACTTATTTTACTAGCAGGGTGAGCCAGGACCCCTGTGTGGTGGCCACCTGAGGTAAGGAGATGAGGTGAGGGCTAGGACGAGGGGACAGTGGGAAGGACTGGGCCACCTCCAGTGGTCATGAGCCAGAGCTGTGCATGAGGACCCCCGGAAACCCAGACCTGTGTTTTCTTCCCTGGGTTGGGGGGTAGAATGAAACTAGGATCCTACTAGGCCCAGCGCTCCTGAGCCACCTTCCCTCTCTCCCTACAGTACCAGGAGAAGCAGCGCAAGCGGGAGGCCGAGGAGCGGCGCCGCTTTCCCCTGGAGCAGCGGCTGAAGGAGCACATCATTGGCCAGGAGAGTGCCATCGCCACGGTGGGTGCTGGTGAGTATGCGAGATGCTGGCCAGCGCCAGGAAGGGGCAGGGTAGCTTACTGTCTGCTGCAGTGAGGTGTGCGTCCTCCTGTCACCATGCTGTGGAGAGGTAGCTAACAATACTACAACTTAACATTTACTGAGTACTTTCTATGTGCCAGGCATGGTGAGAAGCTCTTTGCATATGTTGTGACATTTAATCTTGACAGCAACCTTATGAGGTTGGTGCTGTTAAATCCCCATTTTACAGATGAGGAAGCTGAGGCACAGAGCACTTAAGTAATTACTCAAGGCTGCTTTCCTATGCTTAGAATTTAACTGCCCCCACCCCCCACTTTCAGGTGGGAAAACTGAGACCCAGAGAGGAGCGGGAGCTTGTCCCTCACTAGTGATGTAGCAGCTGAGCCAGATCTAGAACTTCTGTCTTCTCTCTCCCAGCCCAGGACTCTGCTGCACTTCAGTATAGTTTCTCAGCAGTTGGCTCAGTTTTAGGGAAAACATCCTGAACAAGTCTTGAGTGCCTTCCTCTCCACCCCGGAAGCTCTTATGTCCTGTACTCTGACCTCTGGGAGCCAGACTGCCCTCTGGTGTCACCCCTAACCTAATAACCCTCCTGCTCATGCAGACCCTGCTGGAGAGAAATATAAAACTAGGGTTCTGCTCAAAATGGTGGCGTCACCTTTGTTCTCCGACTCGGCTGCATGAGTTCCTGAGGGTGACCTCAGACAAGTGAGGCAAGGGCAGAGGAATCCCTGCCCGCTTAGACGAGGGGTTATCCCCCAAGGCAGTGGTTCTCAAAGCGTGGTCTCTGGACCAGCAGCATCAGCATCCTCTGGGACCTTGTTAGAAGTGCAGGTCTCAGGCCTTACCCCAAACCTATGGAATCAGAAACGCTGAGGTGGGGCCCAGCAAACTGTGTTTTAACAGGCCCTGCAGGCAATTCTGATGCTCAGCACAAGTTTAAAAACCCCTGCCCTGTGGTATCTCACTCCCATTCGTGTTGCTTACTTCTTCTCTTCAAGCATCTAGTCCCACCATATGTGCAGTCCAGTGACTGCCAGGGACAGCACCAGGTTCTGCTCACTGAGAAAGGAGACATCAGGCTGAAATTGTGGTGCCCCTCTGGGACATTCTGGGGCAGCATTATCAGCCCTAGGATACCAATTAGAGAAGTAATTGAAAAATGAAGGCAGCCACCCCTGTGACACATGGAGCCCAGCCGGATCTCCATCATCCTCACACACCAGTGGGACTCATGTGGCAGCCATGAGCCCCTCATCAGGGGACTGACCTCATCAACAGATAAAAGGAGCCCATAGACCAGAGCTGCCTCACCACCTCGAGGTCAGAAGGCTGCCTGCAGGCGCACACAGGAGCCAAGGAGAGCTCTTTTGAATACACAAGGCCCCGCCACTCTGGCCCGAACAGCACCAGGCTGCCCTTTTGGGTTTGGATACCAACAGCCACCCTCAGCCACCACCTTAGAAGTGGCAACCCCGAACTTCTTTGCCAAGGCTGTGTCTGAGGTGGAGAAAGGGAAGACCCTCTCAGGTCCCAGAGACCCTGGGAGCTCTCAGGGGTTGAAGAGAGAAGGAGTTGCCCACAGGAGAGACATGACCTGGGTGGAGACCTAAGAGAGCACCTTCTGCTGGAGTCCCATGTCCACTTGGGCCAGAAGCGCAGCTACCATCATAGTGTTTTCCCTCTGCCTCTTAACACAGCCCTTGCCCAGCAAGCTGCCTACTTCTCTCTGACCTCCTGCTTCTCACCAGCTTCTCAAGCCCACGAGATGTTGGGGGGGAGAGATTTGGGGGAAGGAAGAGGAGGACATTGAAATGGAAAGAATTCATCCAGCCTGGGCTCAAATAGCAGGTCTGCCACTTACCAGCTGTGCAGCTCAGGCTTGTCACTTATGTTCCTTGAGGATCAGTTTCCTCACCTGTGTACCAGGGAGTCAAATCCAGGACAGTCTGACTATAAAGCACAGGTTCTTTCCAGTGTGTGCTCTTTCCAGCACTGAGTAAAACCTAGTTCCTGTCCTCAAGATGTTTACTGTCTAGGGCTGGGCACTGACTGTAAGTCAGGCCCACAGTTATTTCTTCAACCTGGGACTGATCATTAGTCCCAGCCCCAGGCTGGCCTCTTCCCCTGGTCCTACACTGACCTCTGCTGCACCACCCTCCTTGTCTTTCCTTGCTGTTGGCCCAGGGCAGGAGTAGATGATTCAGCTCCACACTTCCTGGGGCTGTCAGAATGTCTGCCCTGAGGGCCGGCCCTGTGGCTTGGTGGTTAAGTGCACGCGCTGCGATGCTGGTGGCCCGGGTTCGGATCCCGGGTGCGCATCGAGGTACCACTTCTCCATCCATCCTGAGGCCGAGTCCCACATACAGCAACTAGAAGGATGTGCAGCTGTGACATACAACTGTCTACTGGGGCTTTGGGGGGAAAAAAAAAAAAAAAAAAAAAAAAAAAAAAAAAAAAAAAAAGAATGTCTGCCCTGAGTGCTTCCTTCTACTCAAAGCTCCATTCTGTCACCTGAACTATGCCTTAGATCGGGAAGGCCCTGCGCTTTGTCCTGTGTCTGTAGGTTGACCCTGCTATGGCTCCAGTGACCCCAGAAAAGACAGAGAGGCTGTTGGGGCTTGGCTGTGGGGTTGGTGCGTTATCGCCTCCATTTGTAAGGCAGTAACTGCGCCTGCCTAGCTGAGAAGCCTGTGGTTGCGGAACACACTGATGATGGTCAGATATCGTTCAGCTACCAGCCCAGGTGAAGCATGAGCCACTCTCTGGGTCAGAATTGTGGTTGGCAAGCAGCAGCCAGTGCCTCAGGACCTCAAGACTGAAGCAGGCACAGGAGAAAGAAGCTGATCTAGAGGGTAGGCCAGGCCTCCCTGGGTCCTCTAGGCTAGTGTCAGATGTGTGCTAGGGACCGGCTAGGTGGAGCCTGGCACCCCAGGGGTACCATGAGGATGGGCAGCCAGAGAAGTGCCGCAGAATGAATTGATTTGATAAATGGCCATTTATTACCCTCACGAATTGGCTGAAACCAATTTCGGTCACATCAACCCCTGGTAAGTGCTGGGATATTGATTTGTGCAAAGTAATACAGTGAATTTATCAGTGTGATCCCCAGCTGCAGGGCTTCTAGCAAGGCTGGCGCACAGTTACCGCCTTACAAATGGAGGAGATAAAGCACCAGCCGCACAGCCCAGGCCCCATGACCTCTCTGGTCTTCTAGGGTCACTGGAGCCAAAGCAAGGCCCTACGTACCGCAAGCCACAGGGCCTTGGCATTGAAAATTAGGCTCTCCTTCCAAAATCCAGAGCTGCTCTCGGTTATGGGAGGGGAAGGATGTCTACCCTGCTGGGCAGACCTCCTGGGAGTCAAGAGCCTCTATGCCCCACCCACCATCCTGCTCAGAAAGACAAGCAGCTGTCTGTTCAGCACATTCAAAGCTGGACTCCACCCCCTTCTTCCAACCTGCCCACCTCCTGTGTTCCTGTCTCAGTAAAGGCACCACCATTCACTGGGCTTCTAAATAGAAACTTAGATGTTTCCTTTGCCCCTCCCTCCCCCTCACCCCTTATAGCCCATCAAGTATCAAGTTCTATCATTCTACCTCTTAAATGGCCTCTCCTCTCTGTTCCTACTATTACTGCCCCAGCTCAGGACCTCAGGGTCTCCCATCTGAACCACATGGTGGCCTCCTCACTGGTCTCCCTGCCTCCTTTCCTTCCCCCATAATCTCTTCTCCTCCCCAGCTGGAGTGAGCTTTGTAAAATGTAAAAACTCACCTGTTTAAAATCCTTGAGTGGCCCCTGCTGCCCTAGGTTGGCATACGAGGCCCACCCCTGCTGCTGCCCCACCCTCCTCTGTTGCCCCCGCTCTGCACTGCACACACCAGCTGCTTCCGCTTCCCTGCTCATGCCGTGTTCATCTCCTGCCTGCAGTTGTTGATGCTGCCCTCTCCGCTTGGGATTCCTTTACTCCTGGCCCTTTCTCCACCCCTGCCCTGCCCATCTCCCACACTCTGGCTGGTGTTTACTTAGCCTAACTCAGTTCAGGAGCAAGAGACTGTAGACTCCTGAAGGTAGAGACCATGACTGAATCGTTTTTGTTTTCCCTATTCCTGGGACAGCGCTCTGCTCAAAGTAGGTGCTTAGTGCAGTTTGTTGAATTAATTAGTTTGGTATGGTCCCTTGTGCATCTCTGTGATGTGCTCTGAGGAAAGAAGAGAAGCTGTAAGCCTGCCCCCTGGTAGCTCACAAGCATACTAGGAATGTGACTGTGGTAAAATAGTTAATTGCAGCACCCATACTACTTGACCTTTGACCCCTTGGGTGGACAGGCCATTCCTCAGACCTGCTTGAGAAGCCTCTTCTGGGCAGCAGGTCAGCTTGCACACCTGGAAGCTTCCCTGCGGCTCCCTCTGACCAGGGGCCTGTCCCCAGCTCCCATTGCACCTGGTCCCAGTGGACTCTGAAGCCCGTGACCTGCCTCGGGGGAGCTCGCCCACCTCGACTGCTCTTCCACACCAGGCTCTGGCCCAAACTCAGAACCTCAGCATCAGTCCTGTGGCGCACAGTGGGCACGCTGTCCTATCTTGTGCTTCACTTCCCTCTTTGACTAATGCAAAAATGTAATTTCCAAGCTCTGCACCTTTCTGGACCCTCCCTGGGAGTCCTGTTTCTGATCTGAGAAATACATCCAGGTCCTCCCTGAGTTGTGGAATGCAGTGATTAATTTAGAAACTGCTTGCGGTTCCACCTCCATACCTCACCCCTCTGCTGTCTCTCCTGTGCCCCTGCTGTTCTCGTTGCCTGGACTGCCCTGCCCCTCCACTGGCCTGCCGAGACCCTCAAGACCAGGGCCTTCTCCAGGAAGCCTTCCTTAGCCCTCCACCTGGATGCAGGACCCTTTCTCTGGGCTTCCTGTGGACACCTTTTATCACTGCACTTACCGTAGGGCATCTGTTTGTATGTCTTTCTCCCTCCAAAGGTCAGGAACTAC